AAAATTCCCCAAAATCTGGGAATTCCAGGCAGGAAAACCCCCAAAATCCAAGGAAAATTCCCAAATTCCTGGAATTCCGGCAGGAAAATCCCCCAAATCCCTGGAAAATTCCTGGAATTCCCTGCCGGGGTTGAACTCCAGGATCCGGGAAAAGCTGGAAAAATCCTTTCCCGGTTTTTTTTTTTCCCGGGAAATTCCCGTTTTTCCCTTCGTTCCCTGGGAAGGCGACGCGAGGCCTGGAGGAGCTGCTGGCGGTTCCGGAATGTTCCGCAGCCGTCCTGGAAAAATTGCCGCGGCTTTTCCGGAGTCTCCTGGTGCGGCTCGGCTGCTCCGTGGGCGTCCGGGCCCCCAGATCCCTGCAGGGGAAGGAGAAAGGGGGAAAAGAGGCCTGGGGGTAGGGAAAAACGGGAATGATTCTGGGGGGAAAAACGGGAATGAAATGGGAATGAAATGGGGAAAAACGGGAATGAAATGGGGGAAAATGGGAATGAAATGGGGGAAAACGGGAATGAAAGGGGGGAAAATGGGAATGAAATGGGAAAAATGGGAATGAAAGGGGAAAAATGGGAATGAAATGGGGAAAATGGGAATGAAATGGGAATTCTGGGGGGGAAATGGGAATGAAATGGGAAAAATGGGAATGAAATGGGGGAAAACGGGAATTACGGGGGGAAAAATGGGAATGAAATGGGGGAAAAACGGGAATGAAATGGGGGAAAAACGGGAATGAAAGGGGGAAAATGGGAATGAAATGGGAATTCTGGGGGGAAAATGGGAATGAAATGGGAATAAAATGGGAAAAACGGGAATGAAATGGGGGAAAAACGGGAATGAAAGGGGGAAAACGGGAATGAAAGGGGGGAAAATGGGAATGAAATGAGGAAAAACGGGAATGAAAGGGGAAAAATGGGAATGAAAGGGGAATTCTGGGGGGGAAATGGGAATAAAATGGGAAAAACGGGAATGAAATGGGGAAAACGGGAATGAAAGGGGGGAAAACGGGAATGAAATGGGAATAAAATGGGAATGAAATGGGGGAAAACGGGAATGAAATGGGAAAAACGGGAATGAAAGGGGAAAAAATGGGAATGAAATGGGAAAAATGGGAATGAAATGGGAATTCTGGGGGGAAAATGGGAATGAAATGGGAATAAAATGGGAAAAACGGGAATGAAACGGGAATGAAATGGGAAAAACGGGAATGAAAGGGGGAAAACGGGAATGAAAGGGGGGAAAATGGGAATGAAATGAGGAAAAACGGGAATGAAAGGGGGGAAGATGGGAATGAAAGGGGAATTCTGGGGGGGAAATGGGAATAAAATGGGAAAAACGGGAATGAAATGGGGAAAACGGGAATGAAAGGGGGGAAAATGGGAATGAAAGGGGAAAAATGGGAATGAAATGGGAAAAAAGGGGAATGAAAGGGGGAAAACGGGAATGAAATGGGGAAAAAAATGGGAATTCTGGGGGAAAAACGGGAATAAAATGGGAAAAACGGGAATGAAATGGGGAAAACGGGAATGAAAGGGGGGAAAATGGGAATTCTGGGGGGAAAATGGGAATGAGTGGGAAAAACGGGAATGAAATGGGGGAAAAATGGGAATGAAAGGGGAAAAATGGGAATGAAAGGGGGGAAAATGGGAATGAAATGGGAAAAACGAGAATAAAATGGGGGAAAAATGGGAAGAAACGGGAATGAAATGGGAAAAATGGGAATGAAAGGGGAAAAAAGGGAATGAAATGGGAAAAAAATGAGAATTCTGGGGGGAAAATGGGAATGAAATGAGAAAAAACGGGAATGAAATGGGAAAAATGGGAATAAAATGGGAATTCTGGGGGGAAAAATGGGAATGAAATGGGAAAAACGGGAATTACAGGGGGAAAAATGGGAATAAAATGGGAAAAACGGGAATTCTGGGGGGAAAATGGGAATAAAATGGGAATTCTCAGGGGAAAAATGGGAATTTTGGGGGAGAAAATGGGAATTTCAGGGGAAAACCAGGAATTTGGGGGGGAAAATGGGAATAAAATGGGAATTTGGGTGGAAAAATGGGAATTCTGGGGGGAAAATGGGAATAAAATGGGAATTTTGGGAAAAAAATGGGATATCTGGGAGGAAAAAATGGGAATTCTGTGGGGAAAATGGGAATTTCGGGGGGGAATGGGAATTTTGGGGGGGAAATGGGAATTCTGGGGGGAGAAATGGGAATTTTGGGGGAGAAAATGGGAATTCTGGAGGGAGAAATGGGAATTTTGGGGGGAAAATGGAATTAAATGGGAATTTTGGGGGGAAATGGGAATTACATGGGAGTTTTGGGGAAAAAATGGGAATTTTAGGGAAAAAAATGGGAATTTTGAGGGTAAAATTGGAATTTGGGGGGGAAAATGGGAATTTTGGGAGGAAAAATGGGAATTACAGTGTGAAAAATGGGGATTTGGGGGGAGGAAATGGGAATTTTTGGGGGGGAAATGGGGATTTTGGGGAGAGAAATCGGAGTTTTGGGTGGAAATGGGAATTAAAATAGGGATTTTTGGGGTGAAAATGGAATTAAAATGGGAATTTTGGGGGAAAATGGGAATTTTTGGGGGAAATGGGGATTAAAGTGGAAATTTTGGGGGGGAAAACAATTAAAATGGGGATTCTGGAAAGAAAATGGGAATTTTGGGGGGGAAATGGGAATATTTGGGGGGAAAACGGAATTAAAATGGGAATTTTGGGGATTTTGGGGGGGAAAATGGGATTAAAATGGGAATTTTGGGGGGAAAATGGGGATTTGGGGGAGGAAAACAGGAATTTTGGGGGGAAAAGTGGGAATTCTTGGGGTGAAAATGGGAATATTGGGGGGGAAAATGGAGATTTGGGGGGAAAAACGGGAATTTTGAGCTCCTTGGGAGCGGGATCATCCCAAAATCCCCTCCATTCCCAAAATCCCTTCCATTCCCGCCCCATTCCAGCATTCCAGGATTTCCCAACCTCCCAAACTTCCCTTAATTAATCCTTAATTAATTCCAGGAAAGCCCCGGAGGCCTCTCCGGGCATTCCCGAGTTTTTTTTTCCCCCTTTGGAATTTTGCCATTCCCGTCCCTTTTCCCAAACCAAACTCCGCCGGGGATTTTCCCCTGGAAAACTCCCAGATTTTCCCCTGGCTTTGGATCCATTCCCAAAATTCCCCGACCATCCCCAAATCCTGGAAATTCTCCAAATTTCCAGCAGGAACGGGAGAAATCCCGACGGGAAAATCCCGAATCCCGGATTTCCTTCGTGTGCGGGATCCGACAGCCGGGATTTATTCCTGGCTGCTCTTCCCGGTGTTTTGACGGGATAACGGATCTTTTCCAGATGTTTCTCCGGCGGCAAAACAATCCCAGCCCCATAAATCTTTCATTCCGTGGAAAAAAAATTCTTTCCAGTAGCTCCGGAGGTTTTTTCTTTCCCTTTCCCGGTTTTTTTTTTGTGTCTGGGAGGATTTTTTTTTGTCTCGGAATTTTTTTTTCTCGTTCCGGGTGAGCCGGGAGCGGAATTCCCTCCGGAATGGAGACGGGGGCGAGCCGGAATCTGATCCTGGAGCAGGTCCTGGAGCCAATTCCGGACCCAATCCTGATCCAGGAATCTGATCCTGGAGCAGGTCCTGGAGCCAATTCCGGACCCAATCCTGATCCAATCCCGAATCCAATTCTGAATCCAACCCGGAATCTGATCCTGGAGCCGGTTCTGGAGCCAATTCCGGACCCAATCCTGATCCAGTTCTGAATCCAATCCGAAATCCGGTCCTGGAGCCGGTTCTGGAACCAATTCCGGACCCAATCCCGATCCAATCCCTAATCCAACCGGGAATCCGGTCCTGGAGCAGGTCCTGGAGCCAATTCCGGACCCAATCCCGATCCAATCCTGAATCCAATCCAGAATCTGATCCTGGAGCCGGTTCTGGAGCCAATTCCGGACCCAATCCTGATCCAGTTCTGAATCCAATCCGGAATCTGATCCTGGAGCCGGTTCTGGAGCCAATTCCGGACCCAATCCTGATCCAGTTCTGAATCCAATCCCAAATCCAGTCCTGGAGCCGGTTCTGGAGCCAATTCCAGACCCAATCCCGATCCAATCCTGAATCCAACCCGGAATCTGATCCTGGAGCAGGTCCTGGAGCCAATTCCGGACCCAATCCTGATCCAATTCTGAATCCAATCCGGAATCCGGTCCTGGAGCCAATTCCGGACCCAATCCTGATCCAATCCCGAATCCAACCCGGAATCTGATCCTGGAGCAGATCCTGGAACCAATTCCGGACCCAATCCCGATCCAATCCCGAATCCAACCTGGAATCCGGTCCTGGAGCCAGTCCTGGAGCCAATTCCAGACCCAATCCTGATCCAATTCTGAATCCAATCCGAAATCCGGTCCTGGAGCCGGTTCTGGAGCCAATTCCGGACCCAATCCCGATCCAATCCCGAATCCATTCCCAAATCCAGTCCTGGAGCCAATTCCGGACCCAATCCCGATCCAATTCTGAATCCAACCTGGAATCCGGTCCTGGAGCCAGTCCTGGAACCAATTCCGGACCCAATCCTGATCCAATTCTGAATCCAATCCAGAATCCAGTACTGGAGCAGGTCCTGGAGCCAATTCTGGACCCAATCCCGATCCAATCCCGAATCCAATTCTGAATCCAATCGGGAATCCGGTCCTGGAGCCGGTTCTGGAGACAATTCCGGACCCAATCCCGATCCAATCCTGAATCCAACCCAGAATCTGATCCTGGAGCAGGTCCTGGAGCCAATTCCAGACCCAATCCTGATCCAATCCCGAATCCAACCCGGAATCCGGTCCTGGAGCCAATTCCAGACCCAATCCCGATCCAATTCTGAATCCAATCCGGAATCTGATCCTGGAGCCGGTTCTGGAGCCAATTCCGGACCCAATCCCGATCCAATCCCAAATCCAACCCGGAATCCGATCCTGGAGCAGGTCCTGGAGCCAATTCCGGACCCAATCCTGATCCAATTCTGAATCCAATCCCAATTCCAGACCCAATCCTGATCCAATCCCGAATCCAATCCCGAATCCATTCCCAAATCCAGTCCTGGAGCCAATTCCGGACCCAATCCCGGACCCAATCCCGAATCCAATTCTGAATCCGGTCCTGGAGCCAATTCCGGACCCAATCCTGATCCAATCCCGAATCCAATCCCGAATCCAACCCAGAATCCGGTCCTGGAACCAATTCCGAATCCAGTCCCGGATCCAGTCCCAAATACAGTTCTGGAGCCAATTCCGGACCCAATCCCGATCCAATCCCAAATCCAATCCGGAATCCAATCCAGAATCCGGTTCTGGAGCCGGTCCTGGAGCCAATTCCAGATCCGGTCCTGGATCCAATTCCAGATCCGGTCCTGGATCCAGTCCCGGATCCAATCCTGAATCCGGTCCTGGATCCAATTCCAGACTCAGTCCTGGTTCCAATCCCGAATCCTATTCTGGATCCGGTCCCGGATCCAATCCTGAATCCGGTCCTGGAGCCAGTCCCGAATCCAATCCCAGATCCAGTCCTAAATCCAGTCCTAAGTCCAGTCCTGGAGCCAATTCCAGACCCAATTCCAAATCCAGTCCTGGATCCAATCCTGGGGCCAATCCCGGATCCAGTCCTGGATCCAGCCCCAGACCCAATCCCGGATCCAGTCCCAGACCAAATCCTGGAGCCAATTCTGGAGCCAATCCCGAATCCGGTCCCAAATCCAGTCCCAGATCCAGTCCCAGGCCAAATCCTGGATCGAATTCCAGACCCAATCCCAGATCCAAACCCAAATCCAAGCCCAATCCTAAATCCAATTCCCAATTCAACCTCAAACCCAATCCTCAATCCCATCCCAACCCCAGCCCCTATCCCAATGCCAATTCCGACCCCAATCCCAGCCCCAATCCCAAATCCCAATCCTGAATCCCAATCCCAAATCCAATCCCGATCCCAATCCCGAATCCAATCCCAAATCCAATCCCAATCCCGATCCCAATCCCATTCCCGGATTTTCCAGCTACGCCGTGAGCACCCTTCAGGCCGCTCTGGTTCAGGCCGGGAAATCCCAAATCCAATCCCAAATCTCGATCCCAATCCCAATCCCGGATTTTCCAGCTGTGTCGTGAACACTCTTCAGGCTGCTCTGGTTCTGGCTGGGAAATCCCAAATCCAATCCCAATCCTAAATCCAATCCCAACTCCAATCCTGATCCCTATCCCAGCCCCAATCCTGATCTCGATCCCAAATCCAATCCCAATCCCAATCCCAAATCCAATCCCAATCCCAAATCCCATTCCCGGATTTTCCAGCTACGCCGTGAGCACCCTTCAGGCCGCTCTGGTTTCGGTCGGGAAATCGCAAATCCAATCCCAATCCCAAATCCAATCCCAAATCCAATCCCAATCCCAAATCCAATCCTGAATCCTATCCCAAATCCAATCCCAATCCCAAACCTGATCTTGATCCTAATCCTGATCCCAATCCCAAATCCAATCTCGATCCAATCCCAGATCCAATCCCAGCCCCAATCCCAATCCCAAATTCAATCCCAAATCCCCAATCCCCAATTCTCAATCCCCAATCCCAAATCCAATCCTAAATCCCGATCCCAATCCTAAATCCAATCCCAATCCCAAATCCCATTCCCGGATTTTCCAGCTACGCCGTGAGCACCCTTCAGGCCGCTCTGGATCCGTTCGGGAAATCCCAAATCCAATCCCAAATCTCGATCCCAATCCCAATCCCGATCCCAGTCCCAAATCCAATCCCAGATCTCGATCCCAATCTCAATCCCGATCCCAATCCCAAATCTTGATCCCAATCCCAATCCCGATCCCAATCCCATTCCCGGATTTTCCAGCTACGCCGTGAGCACCCTTCAGGCCGCTCTGGTCCGGGCCGGCGGCTCCGAGGTCGTGCGGGACGTTGGGAATTCCGGAGGTTGGGAATTGATGGGAATTCCCGAGCGGCACCACGAGGGAATCGCTCTCCTGGCAGGGTACGGAATTCCGGGATTTGGGGGAGAATTCTGGGATTTTGGGGAATTCCTGAAGGAATTCTGGGATTTTGTGGGTGGGATTTGGGAGTTTTTGAAGGAATTCTGGGATTTGGGGGATTCCCAAGGAAAATCTGGGATTTTGAGGGTGGGATTTGGGAATTCCCAAAGAATTCCAGGATTTCCGGGATGATTTCTGGGATTCCCAAGATGATTCCTGGGATAATTTCTGGGCTGATTCCCAGGCCGATTCCTGTCATTCCCGCCATTCCCGAGCCCATTCCCGCCATTCCCGAGCCCATTCCCGCCATTCCTGGGCCAATTCCCAACATTCCTGACATTCCTGAGCCGATTCCCAACATTCCCGGGCCCATTCCCTCCATTCCCAAGCCAATTCCTGCCATTCCCGAGCCCATTCCCGCCATTCCCGAGCTGATTCCCGCCATCCTGGGCCGATTTCCACCATTCCCGCCATTCCCGATGCGATTCCCGCCATTCCCGATGCGATTCCCGCCGTTCCGATCTCTGTTCCCGCCCAGGGCCATGGCTCGGCTCATGGGGCCTCGTCTCCCCCCGATCGTCCGGAGCCTCATCCCGATCCTGGGAAGCGTCTTCGAGTGCCAGAGGGTGACCGGCACCGCCTTCCTGGCCGAGGTGAGCCGGAATTCCGGGAATGTTGGGATGGGCGGGAGTTTGGGATCCTCCTGGGAGCTGTTCCTGAAGGGATCTGGCCGGGGATCCGTCCCGTGGATCCATCCGTTCATCCGTGGATCTGTCCCTCCTTCCATCCCTCCATGGATCTGCTCATCCGTGGATCCCTCGTGGGGGATCCATCCGACCATCCGTGGATTTGTCCGTGGATCCTTCCCTTCATCCATGGATCCATCCATCTCTCCATGGATCCATCCCTTCATCCATGGATCCATCCATCTCTCCATGGATCCATCCCTTCATCCATGGATCCATCCATCTCTCCATGGATCCATCGCTCTATCTGAAGATCCCTCCATCCATGGATCCATCCTGCGGATCCATCCATGGATCCATCCATCCCTCCATGGATCCATCGCTCTGTCCACGATCCGTCCATCCATGGATCCATCCATCTGTCCATGCATCCATCAGTCTGTCCATCCATCCATCTGTCCATGGATCCATCGCTCTGTCCGCAGATCCGTCCATCCATGGATCCATCCACGAATCCATCCCATTCCTCCATCCATGAATCCATGGATCCATCCTGTGGATCCCTCTGTCCTTCCATGGATCCATCCTGTGGATCCATCCTTCTATCCCATGGATCTGTCCATGGATCCATCCCTCCATCCATCCATGAATCCATGGATCCATCCTGTGGATCCATCATCCATCCATGGATCCATCCTTCCATCCATGGATCCATCCTTCCATCCATGGATCTGTCCATGGATCCATCCCTCCCTCCACCCATGAATCCATGGATCCATTCATCCATCATGGATCCATCTGTCCTTCCATGGATCCATCCTGTGGATCCATCCTTCTATCCCATGGATCTGTCCCTCCATCCATGAATCCATGGATCCATTATCCATCCCATGGATCTCTCCATTCATCCATGGATCCATCCATGAATCCATCCCATCCCTTCATCCATGGATCCATGGATCCATCATCCATCCATGGATCCATCAGTCCTTCCATGGATCCATCCTGTGGAACCATCCTTCCATCCATGGATCCATCCCATGGATCCCTCCCTCCATCCATCCATGAATCCATGGATCCATCCTGTGGATCCATCTGTCCTTCCATGGATCTGTCCATCCATCCATCCATCCATGGATCCATCCCATCCCTTCATCCATGGATCCTTCCGTCCATCCATGGATCCATCCCATGGATCTCTCCATTCATCCATGGATACATCCCATTTCTCCATCCATGGATCCATCCATCCCTCCATCCATGAATCTATCCCAGTCCTTCATTCATGGATACATCATCCATTTCTCCATCTATGAATCCATGGATTCATCCATCCCAAATTCCCGCTTTTTCCCGGATCCCTCAATTCCCGACCCTCCAACCCTTCCCAGGAGACCAAAAAATTCCCATGGATCCATCCATCCATGGATCCATCATCCATCCATCCATCCATCTCTGTGAATCCATCCCATGGATCCATCCATGGATCCCTCCCATGGATCCATCCACGGATCCATCATCCATCCATCTCCGTGAATCCATCCCTCCATCCCATGGATCCATCCATGGATCCATCCCATCCCTCCATCCATGGATTCATCCATGGATCCATCCATGGATCCATCATCCATCCATCTCCATGAATCCATCCCTCCATCCATGGATCCATCCCATGGATCCATCCCATCCCTCCATCCATGGATCCATCATCCATCCATCCATGGATCTGTCCATCCATGGATCCGTCCCATGAATCCACCCATCCATCCATGGATCTGTCCATGGATCCATCATCCATCTCTCCATCCATGGATTCCTCCCTCCATCCATGGATCCATCCCATCCCTCCATCCATGGATCCATCCCATCCCTCCATCCATGGATTCCTCCCTCCATCCATGGATCCATCCCATCCCTCCATCCCATGGATCCATCCATGGATCCATCCCATCCCTCCATCCATGGATCCATCCCATCCCTCCATCCACGGATCCATCCATGGATCCATCATCCATCCATCTCCATGAATCCATCCCTCCATCCATGGATCCATCCCATGGATCCCTCCACGGATCCCTCCCTCCATCCCAACCCCATCCCAAATTCCCGCTTTTTCCCGGATCCCTCAATTCCCGACCCTCCAACCCTTCCCAGGAGACAAAAAAATTCCCATGGATCCATCCATCCATGGATCCATCCATCCATCTCTGTGAATCCATCCCATGGATCCATCCATGGATCCATCATCCATCCATCTCCATGAATCCATCCCTTCATCCATAGATCCCTCCCTCCATCCCATGGATCCATCCCATGGATCCATCATCCATCCATCTCCATGAATCCATCCCTTCATCCATGGATTCCTCCCTCCATCCATGGATTCCTCCCTCCATCCATGGAACCATCCATGGATCCATCCCACGGATCCATCCATGGATCCATCATCCATCCATCTCCATGAATCCATCCCTCCATCCCATGGATCCATCCCATCCCTCCATCCCATGGATCCATCATCCATCCATCCATGGATCTGTCCATCCATGGATCCGTCCCATGAATCCACCCATGCATCCATG